GTGTTTCTGTGTACACTCCCCCACATCCCCCCCCCCAAAAAAAACCCCAGAGGGAATTGAAGCAAATACTGTTAAATGTTGATGCACAGAGGAGATTGTAATCATTGCAATGAAATGATGGTGTAAAGCCAATGTTCTTCTATGCAAACTATTACTCAGTTCACAATAAAAACTTTTAAAACAGGAAAAAAAAGATGTAAAGAATAATAGAGTTCACTGTCCCAAAAAGAATTTGGTTGATACTCAATCATTTCATGAGATACCATATGATCAGAACCAATGGTACTGAAGAAAAAAGTCCAAGCAGCACTGAAGCATTGGCAAAAAACAAAGTTTCAGAAACTGACAGAATACCAATTGAGATATTTCAACAGACTACAAGCACTTTATCTATGCCAAAAATTTGAAAGACAGCTACCTGGCCAACCAACTGAAAGAGATCCATAATTGTGTCCATCCCAAATAAAGGTGATTCAACAGAATGCAGAAATATAGCATAATATCATTTATTAAACATGCAAGTAAAATTATGTTAAAGATAATTTAAAAATGGTTGCAGCAGTGCGTGGGTAAGGAACCATCAGAAATTCAAATTGAATTCAAAAGAGCATGTGGAACAAGGGATATCATCACTGATGTCAGATGTGCCCTGGCTAACAGCATAGAATACCAGAAAGACTTTTGCCTGTGTTTTACTGACTATGCAAAGGCATTCGACTGTGTGGCTCATAGCATTGCAAAGAATGGTAATTCCAAAGCACTTAATAGTGCTCATGGAGAACCTGTACATAGGCAGTCATTCAAACAGAACAAGGGGATACAATAGTTTACAACCAGGAAGGGGTGTAACAGGGTTGTATTCTTTCATCATACTTATTCAATGCTGAGCAAATGTTCTGAGAAGCTGGACTACATGAAGAAGAATGCAGCAACATGACTGGGTAAAGACTCACTAACAACTTGTGATACACAGATGACACAGCCTTGTTGGTGAAAGTGAAAAAGACTTGAAGCACTTATTGATGAAGTGCAAAGAAAGCACTTATGGATGATGTTTTAAAAAATACAATCTTCAGTATGGATTACACCTCAACATACAGAAAACAAAAATATGCACACCTGGACCAGTGAGCAACATCATGATAAATGCAAAAAATATTGAAGTTTTTAAGGGTTTATTTTACTTAGATCCACAATCAATACCCATGGAAGCAGCAGTCTAGAAATCAAATGACAAATAGGCAAATCCACTGCAAAAGATCTCTTTAAAGTGTTCAGGAGCAATGATGTCACTTTGAGAACTGACTTCAGCCATGATATTTTCAGTCATCTCAAAGACATGGGAAATGTGAACAATGAGTGAGAATGAAAAAAATAATTGATGCCTTAGAAATATGGTGTTGGCAAAGACTATCGAATATACCATGAACTTCCAGAAGAAAGGCCAAATCTTTGTTTGGAAGAAGTACAGTCAGAATGCTACTTAAATGTGAGGACACCAATACTTCATCTTTTGTCTTTTGGATGTATTATCTAAAGAGACCAATCTCTGAAGAAGGACATCATGCTTGGTAAAGTAGAGGGTCAATGGAAAGGAGGAAGACCCTCAAGGAGACAGATTGGTACAGTGGCTGCAACAATGGATTCACACAACAACAATTGTCAAGATAATGCAGGACTGTGTTTTATTCTTCTGTACATCTGTTCTCTATAGATAGGAACCTATTTCTTGGCATCTAACAACAACATGAGAGTGTTTAGGTGACATCTAGTAGCTTCACTGAAACAAAATGTCCAGTCACTCAGTCAGCATTCATTTTCTTGATTGCCTATTACAGTTCTGATGCTGTGTTATGTACTGATGATACAAATAAGAGCATGGTTCATACCTCAAAGAAATTCCGAGTCTTGTGTGAGAAGATGAATGTGTGATGATTTAATTATTATATGACTTGAGCAATGTCAGAGGCAGGCACTGGATGATGTGGAACACAGAGGAATTTCTTTTTAGAACAGATGGAATTGAAAAAAAATTAAATATTTCTCTCTTGCAGGTCAGTCTTAATGCTTATATCAATAATGTAAGTATTATTTAATAACATTGGTATAATTTTCAAAGAAATCACTTTGTGCCAGGTCTCAGCAATCATAGTGGTTACTGGGGCATGATTCAGTCAAACAGTTACCCTGGGTTAATCAAGACTTCAATATCATTGAGGTCTTTGTTCCTTAGTATTTGTAGGAATGAATCATTCATGGAAATGGCAGCAAAGGGGTAGAGTTCTTATGATTCATTGGACTGAACTTCATGCCAGTAATATTTTGGTGCAGAGATTATCTTTATGTTACTTTTTCTATGGTTCCAAGACTTGAAAAGGCATCACCATGGGAATGTAAAAAACTCAGTGGATTATCTTGTCCAAGTTCATGATCTTAAAGGTGTGTGTGTATGTGTGTGTGTGTGTCTATGACAGAAAGACATGGTCTATAGTTGCAGATGGCTCTTGATTGAAAGCAGAGAACACCAGAAAGATGTTTACTGTGTTTTATTGACTATGCGAAGGCCTTTGACTGCAGGTATCATAAGAAACTACAGTTACCAATTAGAAGAATGGGAATTCTAATTCTAGAACACTAAATTGTGTTTATGGGGAACCTGTACCAAGAGAACCTACTTGATAGCACCTAACAACACCAACAATAATAGTTGTATTACTGAATATTTATCAGGACCGCTTTTTAAGTTTCCATCTTTTTCTTGCTCCTCGGATTTGGGGACACTTTGGTGCTCACTCCTCGAGAATCATCAGGTAGAATCACTTGAAGCAGGATCAGAAATCAGATGGTTGTTGTTGTTAAGTGCCATCAAGTTGGTTCTGACTCATAGTGACCCTGTATGGGGTTTCCAAGGAGCAGCTGGTGAGTTTGAACCGCCAACTTCATGGTTCAAACCAACCTTATGATCGAGTGCTTACCCTATAGTATCACACTAAAATCTATTCTAATCGCCCTCTGCCAATATCTCAGTGAAATGCTTGAATAGGAAGTAAGCTAGGGATGTTGGTTAAGATGAAGCTAATATACCCATAATTTTTGCATATAATGTGCAGTGGTGCACAGAGAGAACTAGGGTGAGAGAAGGTTTCTAGGTTTGCAAAAAACATATAAGCCATAATAAGTTCTTTACATAAAGGATGCTATTGCTTAGGAAGACCCCCAAAGATATGGATTGGCACAGTGGAGGCAACAGTGGGTTCAAGCATCACAATAGTTGTGTGGACTGGGCAGTGTTTCATTCTGTTGTGCATGGGGTCGCTCTGAGTTGGAATCCACTGGACAACATCTAACAGCAACAACAACATTGCTCTGGAGTCTTATGATTCATACTGAAAAGAGGTCAATGGGGTAAAGCACTGGACTACAAGGTTAGTTTGAACCACAAGGTCAGTGATTCAAACTCACTAGCTATTCCTTGGAAACCCTAAACAGGGTCACTGTGAGTTGGAACTGATTTGATGGCATTTAAAAACAACAACAACTACTTATGGTGGCCACCATCCATTCAACAAACACATATATTGAGCAGCTGCTACATCTTAGCACTGACACTCAGTCTCAAAATGGATTTTTTTAAAAGCTTCGTGGAGCTTCAGTTCTAGAAGAACAAAAGGAAGTATTACTGGCATCTCCCTTTTGTGTGCAAAGCATTTCCTTCTCATGAGGTCTTAAGTGTTAGGTTCAATGTGGTACTCCCAAAACTTTATTTGTTCCGAGGCTTGCAGACTAGTATCCGATCATACTGCTTATAGGAGCAGAGAAATGGACTCTAGTTGGGAGGTAAAAATCTGTATGTGTGTGTGTGCGTGTGTGTGTTAGGGCGTGGGTGATAGTGTACAGAGGACAGAAATTCTACTATCGTGCCATCCACCCGAATACTTTCCATGGGGGAGGGAGGATGCTCGAGGTAGCACCTGAATTGCTCCCCTCAGCCCACTTGTCTTCCTCCCTCTGCCTTTTACTCTCCACTTTTTCTTTCTTTCCTCCCTAAATCCCTCCCTCTTCTCTTTTCCTCCCTTTCCCTTGGCCCCTCCCCAACCCCATCCCTTGCACAGTTCTTCTCCTCCTCTGGCTCCCTCTCCCTCTAGCTTCTTTCCCCTTGTCTCCTTTCCCTCCTCCGCCCCTCTGAGGCGTCTGCGTCAGGTCCCCAGTAGCGTGATGCGCTGGGTCAGGGTGGGAGCTGTCCACTCGCCCCGGGTGCTGAATGCAGCAAAGGCGACCGTGGCGGCGGCGGAGAGCGCTGGGAGCCTCCTCCTGTCCAACAACCTTGCTTTCTAGTCCTCGGACGGTCACCTCACCGCCCCGCCACCTCTCTTTCAGCACCCACCCCTTTAGGAACTGAGCCAGGGGGGCCAGCAGTCGCGGCGGCGGGTGCTGAGCAACGGCAGAAGACAACACCTGGCAGCAGCCTGGAATCTGATTTGCTTCTTCTCGGCTTTTGTAGGGATATATTTATATACGTTTTCGGAGAGTCGCGAGGACTAAGCTGGAGTCAAGTGCCGGCTGCCTCCCACCTTGGCCGCACCGCTTCGCTTCCTCCTCCCCACCTTCAGCCCGCACCGCAAACAAGCCTCACCTCTTTGCATCTGCGAGAGGTAGCAACAGCGAACCCAGCCAGCCAGCTAGAGGCAGCGGCCGGGAGGGAGGGGCGGGGTGGAGGGGCAGGGAGAGGGCCGAGGCTGCCCTTGTTGGGGGGAGCGGGGGCACAGCTGCCGAGAAGACCCAGCAGCCGCCCTCCTCTGACCCCACCCCTCCTGAAGCACTCTTCCTTGATTATTTGAGAACCGAATTATTCCACTAGTATTATTTCATTTTTTTCTTACCCCCTTCCTCACTCCCATCCGCCCCCACCCCCACGCCTGCTCCGTCTTTGGTTGCATGGCAGCGCTGCCCGGGCGCGGGGGCTCAGGGCCAGCCCCCCGGGAAGGAGGAGGAGGAGGATCATGAAGCCCGGAGTCGCGGCCGCGCTGGACGGCGGGCAGCAGCCCGAGGACGGGCCAGAGCAGCCCCCGCCCCGGAGACACCCGGACGCCGCTGAACAGCAGCCGCCACCGCCACAGGAGCTTAGGCGGCCGTGGGCAGACGCAGAGGAGGAGGAGGAGGGCGACCACCACCCAGAGGAGGAAGAGGAGAGGAAGGCGAGGCCACTCGCTCTTCCGGACCTGCCTTTCTCCTGGCCCTTGGCTGTCGCCCTAAGGGACCTTTGATGGAGTCCAGGAGAGGGGGCCGCGGATTTATAGGCTACAGCGTGGGTGGGCTGAGGGCTGAGACCATGTAACTATTCCTTCCTTCTGTTCTCTCTCACAAGCCCCACTTCTCTATCCTCTTTTTCTACTTCCACCTTCGCCCCCTCCTAACCATTATCTTAAAGCTCAGGACTGAGGCAGCTCTGCAAAGATTAAGGGATCTTTTTTCCTTCCATTCCCCTCTCAAGTCCCTGGTTTTGTTCACCTCTCTTCTAACTGGCTTTCCCCTCTTCTATGCAGCCTTTGACTGCAGAGGCAAAGCACAAACGCCTTGTCCAGTTTCTCCTCAACCAACTCCCATCCACCCACACACCCAACTGCTCTCTTACAAAGCAACTCTGGTGCTATTGGGGTTAATCTCCTCAATTTTCTGCCCAGGAGAGTTAAAACTTCTCCCACCCTTTCTTCCTCTCTTATCCCTTCCCAGTCAAATTCCTACTATCTGAAGAAAGCGATCTTTTCTCACACATGCAGTCTCCAGTTCTTCATTGAGCTGGTTTGCCCTAAACTCAGTTCAAGCCACTCTAAATTTGATTTCTAACCTTACTCACCCTTCCCTTGTCATAGAAAAGAAAGATTTCCCAATGCCTAGGGATTTGAGAAGAGCCCAATCATTTTCTTCCCAGCCTCTCCTGGGGAACTTTCTAACAATTAAGTCTTGATCTCAAGGTTCTAACAGCTCATCCTCAATACTTCTATCTCCCTGGCCCGGCCCCTACTTATGCCTCTAGGCCAAAGGGAGGAAGGAAACACCCTGAGAGAAGTCTGAGGTGGGGGTTAGGGGGCGTGGGCAAGAAAAACTTTTCATTGTTTGGTTTTCCAGGTAGAGTTTAGAGTCAGTGACTCACAGTGCTCAGTTGTGGGGGCAGTTTATTTGCTATTTGGAGGAGGTGTAAGAAGCTCCAGTGAGAAGGCAGTGTCCCCTAATAACACAGATACACTGTGGACCCCTAAACCCTCCTACCCTCCTCTGCAAAGACTCCAGCTGCCCCTCCTGGGCTCTCTTCTGATGCCCCTGAGTGGGCTGCTCTGGTGGTGGTGGTGCTGCTGCTGCTGTGGATTGGGAGCCCAGATGTTGCGCCACCAGGGTCTCCTCAAATGCCGCTGCCGCATGCTCTTCAATGACCTGAAGGTTTTCCTACTGCGGCGCCCCCCTCCAGGACCCCTGCCCATGCACGGAGACTCACAGCCCCCTGGTTTGGCAGCCAACAACAACACCCTACCGGCTCTGGGTGCCGGAGGTTGGGCAGGTTGGAGGGGCCCTCAAGAGGGGGTTGTTAGGGAGACCCCTCCTCTGCCACCTCTGCCACCTTCTTCTGTGGAAGATGAGTGGGGTGACCCAGCCACAGAGCCACCGGCCTCTCTGCTCAGCAGCACCTCCTCAGATGACTTCTGTAAGGAGAAGGCTGAGGATCGCTACTCACTGGGCAGCAGCCTGGACAGTGGTATGAGGACCCCACTCTGCCGTATCTGCTTCCAGGGGCCTGAACAGGTGAGTCCTTTTTTCTCTTCTGTTTCCGGTGGTATCGGGTCTGGCAGAGTGCTACTTGCCTACTTGCCCTGGAGAACCATTACTCTGTCTCTAGAGCGAGGACTGTAAATCTTCAGAACCCCTTGATGTTTCATGTGGTTAAGCTTGTTCAAAATGTAAGTTTGTTCAAAGGTGGAGCCTTTTTGATTGTAGTGTAGCTTTTGCATTTTCTTTCCAATGCTAGTTTTTTCAGTTTCAACCCAAATTTCCTTAAGTGTTCTCTGAATAGAAGATCCAGAAATCAGAAGTGATGAAATGAGGAAACTTGGTAGTACCTTCATGCTTGTGACCAAGGTATCTTTTTATCTGATTTGTTGTGAATGATATTCTTCCCAGACCATGTTCAGCCCCAGATTCAAACTTCTTCACTCAGAAATGTGCTGAACTTATTCTTTTTCTCTATCCCTATAGACTGAAACCCTACAAGTCTATTCTTTTGTGTTGACACTACCCCCTGCCATATGACATTGACATCCTCAGCAATACTAGTCACTGAGCAGGAAATGGAGAGGAATCCTAGGTCCCAGAAGACTATTTGCTAAGACACTTCTTGGCAATCTTAGGTTTCTCTAGGTTGGAAAGAAACAGGGAAGAGGGGATGAGAGTGAATTTCAGAGACTTGGAAAAGGGAGTAGGGATTCTTATTATATATATTCCCTTTCTCAGACCTGAAGTACCTTGACTACAAGTAGCTCACATTCACACTATCTCCATCCAGGAGAGGGGATGCCAAGGTGTTCATGGGCCACAGCTTTCCTAAGTCTGGAGGGTCTTTCCTATTCCTTGCATTCCGATTTTCACAGATATGCTCACCCTGCCCCACCTCTTTTGGCTTAATTTTCAATTGTGCTTGAAATTCTGGATAGCACGTGTGCATTCTTCTAGAGTCATGAACTGTGGTAACACTTTGTCAAAGAATCCCAGCTAGAAAAGGCTCACCTGAAAATCGGATGCAGTTATTGATGCAGGAGAAGAGACATTCCATTGCAACCTGGGCAGAGGCATGGGGCCATACCAGCCACAACTTCAGTTCTTTCCTAGAAGTGGAGACAAGATTTCTGGGTGCTCCTCCAACAAGTGGTAGCACCAGAGGGTACCATGCTGCTGCTTCTTCATGGCTTGAGTTCTTACCTGGGGCTGGCTCTATAAGATGCAGGCTCAGGTGATAGTTTCATTCATTATATCTTTGTTCTGAATGGACAAAGTACATCAGGGACCAATGATGATGGAAACCATAGCCTGGGAATTATGAGAGATGCTGATTTAGATCCAAGAGAAAGTGATATAGATCTCAGTGTGAATAAATACCTCTGAGGGACAGAAAGCCAAGTTCTTTTTTCTGTGACTAGGATTGCCTAAAGTTCCAAGTTAAGTGCTGCGCAAAATTGAGGACTCCTGTAAAGGTTCTCCCCTCCCCCAGACTCCCAGTCCTACTTGCTACCCCCAGTGCTGGTATCTAGTAGAACTACCGAGTGGAGGGATTTGACTGTGAGCAGTAGTGAGCCTGCTAGTGTCTTGCTTTGTGGTACTCCAGGGCCAGATCTTGCTCCAATAGGGAGCTTTTTCCAAAAGAAGGAGTTATTTAGCCTTCTGAACTTCCTAAACTATTTCTTCATTCTTTCATATGGGCCGGCTTGGATCTGTATGTCACAGGGACTGCTGGGAGAATGGTTTCTGACAAGAACACCCTTGTTTCTAGAAAATGGCAGAACTTGGATCCTGTCCTGGAATGATACTTTGTGAATATCTTCAAATTGGTTTACGCTTCTGAGCCTTTCTTTCCAACTGTTTCTGCCTCACTCCTTTCCTTATAAAATCCAGGAAATAATGTGGAAATGCCTTGAAAAGAATTAAAATATAGTGAGCATGTATTTTGATCATGGAAAAAATGTATTTTATTAAAGAAAAGAAAAAGGAAAAGATTACTAGCAATATTGTAAAATGCCTTCAACATAAGACAGAGGTTGTTGTTGTTAAGTGCCATCGAATCGGTTCCGACCCATAACGACCCTGTACAGGGTTTCCGAGGCTGTAAATCTTTATGGGAGCAGAAAACCTCATCTTTCTCCCGCGGAACAGCTGTGAGTTTCGAACTGCTGACCTTGCGGTTCACAGCCCGATTTGTAACCACTATGCTACCAGAGCTCCTTAAGACAGAGATTAGAGACATTCTTTCTTGTTCATTATTTTTAAGATGTGTCCTAAGTAAAATATTGAGTGAAAAATCCTATCACCAATAAATAAATGGACTTTCTTATTATGTGAGAGGACCAGGGGTCCATGCTGTGTTCAGACTGGATCAAATCCAAGTACAGTGAAACCTGTATGTGCCAAAACTCGATAGGACTGACCTGTTTTTCCCAGTTTCTCAACTTTTCCACCTTTGACAGTGTGCAGTATTAACACTTACCTATCATTAGGTTTAGTGGAAAGTATTTGAGTTTTCCTTCTCTGAGAGGTTTCTGCCTTACACAGGTTCTGGATTTTGCAGGTTTTACTGTACATGTTACATGTAACTATTATGTTTTGGGGATTTGCTTAATCTGCGCAGAAGCCAGAAATTTCAATGGTGTTCTGCTATAGTAGTGATAATAGTAACATGGATACTATGTTAGATGTGGAGAATACATTTTCTCACCTTTCTCTTGTTTTTCTTGACAGCATTTCAGTGAGGAAGGGAGGCAAAAGCAGGAAATAGGGAAAGCTCTTTAGAGAAAGAAGAGGGATGGAGACAGTGAAAAGCTGAGGTTTCAGTAGTTTAGTTTCTGTTCAGGAACAGAGCTGCCCAGCAACTGTCCACACGTGGCTCTGAAGGGAGTGTAGACGGTCTGCAGTCTTGAGTGTCTCAGTCTTTCCTGTGCCCAAACAAAGGAACGGCACAGTGATCTAGTCATCTGTCACTGCCCCAGGGGCTACAAGGCTGGCACATATGAAGAGTGGGTTTCTACTTGCCAAAGGCTAGTATATACATGGTGAGAGGTAACTAGAAGACCCAGCTAGGGCCACTTTTGCACGTCTCTACAGAAGACTTTGCATCCATTTGTTGATGCATATATTTATTTAATAGAGGCTTATTGGGCATTAACAGCATCCTAGACACTATTCCAATGAGTATTCAGGAGCAAACAACAGACGAAATCCTGCTCTCCTGAAGCTGCCATTCTAGTGAAGACACAGAAGTTGACAAGTAAACTAGTGTGTCAATAAGATGATTTCAGGTAGTGTTGAATGCTGTTGCTAAAACAGGAAAATGAGTTAAATAAGAATGAAAGAGAGGGCATGGAAGAGGTTCAACTACAACAGCTTTCCTAAGAATGTGTCTATTGAGTTGTTGACACCCAGATGATCAAAGGACCCAGCTATGCATGCAGACGTCTAGGGGAAGAGTGCTCCAGGTGGAGGAAACAGTGATTCAAAGGCCTGGGGGGTGGGGGGGGGGGGGGGGGGGTTGGGGAGAGGACAAATTTGGCATGTTTGAGAAACAGAAGGAAAGGTGGACAGGTAGAAAGTAAGAAATAGGATGAGAACTTTGAGAATCAGTTGTAGAGCTAAGTAGTCACTTGCATTTGCTCAGCCTTCAGTCGAGTCAGAAAGAGGTCAAAGATACATGAGAGTATGAGGCAAGAGCCCAGTTGACCACTTGTCACTCTTCATTCCTGGTGGAAGCTGTGCTAGGTCACTTCAAAGGACAGTGTGCCAGGGTGGATAAGTCTAGAACAAACTGTCCAAATAATGAGTTTGGCCATCCTGGCCTCCAAGGAGCACTCTGGCTGCACTTCTTCCAACACAAATCTGTTAGTTCTTTTGGCAGCCCATGGCACTTTTAATATCTTCCTCCAACACCATAACTCAAAAGCATCAATTCTTCTACTGCCTTCCTTATTCACTGTCCAGCTTTCACATGCATATGAACTTATTGAAAATACCATGACTTGGGTCAGGTGTACCTTAGTCCTCAAGCTGACATCTTTGTTCTTCAGCACTTTAAAAAGGTCTTGTGGCTCATGTAGGAGAAGTCAAAGTATTTAAAAGAAACAACTTAAGGGAACAATCTGTGAGACAACAAACATTCTATTCTATTTTGATAAATATACCTCATAATGACCTGAAGATTAAGTTTAAATTGAAAGCCTTTGGACTTCCCTGTATTCTGAGTTAAATGGAGGTGGCTGGCACCTTATGGACAGCCCATTCTGATTCTATCACCACTGTTGTACAATGAGCTGTACAATGCTGAATCCCAACACGTGTATGAACACTACAGCTATCATATCCAAGCTCTGTCTACACCACCCCCTGACATTTACCTTCTGTGTCCAACCCCTCTGGCTTAGGAGGTTTCAGCTTGTGGATCTGAAGAAGAAGACAGTGCAGAACCTGGGAGTGGGCTCAAAGCTGTCTGGTCAATAATCCTGGAATCATAGGTAACTAGCGCATGTTCTAGAAGAGGGACATGAGCCCTTAACCTTGTGGACTCCTTGCCTTATGGAGAGGGGTGGAGCTGAAGAAGGACCAGAAGGAAGCCATTTAAAGCAAATGGGCCTTACTTAGGGAAATGCTACAAAAGGACTGTAAGATCTCTGGAGGCAGCTGCTGTGTGCTTTTTAACTCATCACTGGATCATCACCTCCCAGCCCAGTGCCTGGCACATGTTCACTTGTTGGATGAATGAATTTCCAGAGCTCATCCAGTGGCTGACATCACAGGTGGGACACTTGGGAGAGGAGAACACTCGGGAGCATCAAATGCTGAAACTGTTCTGTGGACGGAGGGGCAGACCTGCCCTGTGGGGCCACAAAGAGTAGCACCTAGGGCACTGATGGGCTTTCCAGAGAAGTGAACCTGGGTCTTGGTATTAAAAAGAATTTTCTACCAAAGCTGTAACAAGATAGTATGGGCTGCTTTGGAAGGGAAATCATGTGGGTGACTGACACAAGATGACTGACTCTCAAGATCCATTC